ATTTCATCCACAGTGTAGCTATGCAGTGGGTATGATAAAGCAGGAAGAGGATTACACATATACTTAAAAAATGTAACAGGCCTTTCTTTTTTGTTTTGTTTTTTTTTGGTTTTTTTTGTTTGTTTTTGTTTTTTTGTTTTGTTGTTGTTTTTTTTTTTTTTACGTAGACCAGAGATGAATTTCTGGTTTATTATATATCATTAGCACTCTCTTTACCCACACTTTTTGTGCTTGTGAAGATCTAATTAAACACAAATAGGGCTTTTCTTTGAATATAGTTTGGTTGATTCTTCCCCCCTCCCTCCCCCCCAAAAAAAAGTTTATAATCTGGGGGTAAAAGTAAGCGACAGGAACACTTGAGGCAATGGCGTATCGACTACAGAGAGCTCTGGAGGAACGAGCGGATGGAGGCGTTTGCTCCAGACACTGCTGGACTCTTCTGACTTGCTGACGTGAACTAAAACTGTTTTGGTTTCTGGAAAGTTTCTTGCAGGAGTTTTGAGTTCTTGCCCTGAATGGACAAGTGGGGTTTGCATCTAAATATGCAAATCTTACGCGGTATTTCATTTTGTGATTGAGACTTGGTTTGTGATCTGAACAGAGTTTCTTTGATCTGTTGCAAAACCAGCTCACAAGTTGCTGTCTTGGACTCTTTTCTTACAAGATGCCACAAAAGAACCTCAGTATGTTCTAGTGCTTTGCCAGCTCTACAATTAAATTTCATTTGGGGGGAGGAGAGCAAAAAGAGATGTATTCACACTAGAAGAAGCAAAATGTGAGACTTCTGAGACAAACATTTGAAGGCAAATGTACTCTGGGCAACTCTTCCCGATATTCCTATGTGTCGTGAATAAGAGAAGGACTTTCTACCAAACCTGGGAATGTTCAATGGAGTTTTACAGTAACTCAAAGACTTAAAATGTGGAAGTTTTAGGCAACATTTAAAGGCACATTTTTTTTCATTCTGGACAAATCTATGGAGAACAGAAGACTAATGCATAAGAAGAAATCAGAGATACGCGTTGAAATAAAACTTGGACCACTTTGCATACATGTTTCTCACTTGACATTTTAGCTGCATAACAATGTGCTTTGAGTATAACATCAAGCTTTAACGAGTATTTAAAGACAGAACGTACATCAATAAGATAATAAAAGGCTCATTTTTATATTTGTTTTAGATGTTTTAACTAGATGAAATGGCTTAAGATGACGAATAAAAATGTTGCTTGTAATACAGTTTTGCCTGCTAAATTCTCCACATTTTGTAACCTGTTTATTCCTTTGGATGTAAAGCGTTTTTGCTTAGTATTGTGACATTGTATATGTTTTGTCCCAGTTGTATAGTAATGTTTCAGTCCATCAACGAGCTTTGGCTGCTGAAATCATACAGCTGTGAAGACTTGCCTTTGTTTCTATTAGATGGCTTTTCAGTTCTGTATTAAATATCTTAAGTACTATAGAAAAGGTGTCACCTCTTCCTATAAGGCTGTTTTGTAATATATATAAGGACTGGAAATGTGTTTTTAAAGAGAAGAAGCATTCAAGTATGACGATATACTATCTGTGTTTTCACCATTCAAAGTGCTGTTTAGTAGTTGAAACTTAAACTATTTCATATCTCATTTAATAAAGTGACCAAAATACATCAACGTGCCTTGTGCTACATTCGCAGTACAGCGTTAACTCCGCAGGGATACCGGCTGAGAACGTGTCTTTTGAGAACTGCGCTGCGCTGTGAGTTTAATTTTCCTGCACCCGTTACTGGATGTAGCCATTAATTTAATTTATGGAAAATAGCTGTGGTCCAGGTTTTCAAATTATATGAGTTAATAGTAGCTTCTGCAGCCAATCTGTCTGTTAAAAATGAAGAATGAGTTATCACCCAGCAATGATGAATTGTTGGAGAGTGAGGTGAAGTTCTACTTGGTCAAATCAGAATAACCTACTTGTATGTTTTAACCTCAGAATTGTACTTCTCTCTTTCTTAGTTACTAAAGCCCCTGTTGGGCAAAAAAAAACCCGCAAAAACTTTCCTGTACGAAAAAACGGCGTGCCAGTGGTGTTTTAAATCTGCCCCTCGGCTCGTTCCCGGTGCTTGGGAGGTTACTGCCCCGCCTGGGTCTGCTCGGGGGGTACGGCTGGACGTGCCGGTAGCCGAGAAAGGGCAGATG